GAGCCCACACTCTCAAACAAAAAAAAATTGGGTTTGTTGTCATTCAAAAGTGATTGTGGGTACCCAGCTTTAATTTTTTGTAATAAAAATGTTTAAAATTTATTGTCAATTTTAAACCCAATTTTTGCACCAAATTTTACTTGTGGCCATTCTTGTCCGTCATTGACGAATATGTTCATGGTTGTCAGTAATCAATGAAAAACTCTAATATTATAATAATAAAACTGTTTTTAATCATAAAATATAAACATAGTTAACTACTCTGTATAAGTTACGTTAAAATGATCAGCTGTTCGTCCCAAACAAGTTTCACAGCTGTTATATGGCTTTTCGAAAATACATATCTGCGCCAAAAAAAAGTTTACTGTCAAATGTAATCATTCATGACTACGAACAGAGTAATCGGTTATTTTGTGACTTTCTTTTCTGTGTTTGTGTTTCTCTGTTTTTATCATTTTTGCAATAGAAATATTGTCGAAAATTTGTATTTAAAAAATGTAAAATAACGAAAAACGTGTAATCTAACAACCAATGAAGTGAAATAATATGAAGATTTGTTGAAAATCATCCGTTTAAGAGCATTAAAATCAATTTGAAATCTGCGGAAGTTGATTACAACAACACAACAAACAGCGACGACGACACAACGTAAAACAAATGAATAAGTATGAGTGTGTGTGAGTGAGCGAGTGCTTTTAAAAAAATAAGTTGTTATTGTATTTATATACGTATATAAATTTGAATTGAATTTTATGCGACATGAAATTAAAACTAAACAAAAAAGTGTAGTGTATAAAACATAAAAAACGCCATGAAGATGGCAGTGTGTGCATGCACACTCACGCGCTCTTGATTAAACCAACTTTATTCTAATTCCATTGGAAGATTTTGCAAGATTTTTACGTTTTTTGTGATGGAAATTTCAATGTTTGTTTTGGCAGCATTTGTTTGTTGTGTGTAGAAAAGAGCGGCGGAGGGGGGACATCATGACTAATAGTGTGGGGTGATTGGCAGCCGACGTAAAGAGGGGGGCAGAATCGATGATAATTTTTAAGTTGACACTAATGTATCACAAGGCCAATGGTGTTAATTTTGGCTTTTTGTTCGTTGTGTCGTCACATAGCTATTGGTTGTGGCCGTACAACAAACATTTTTTTCATCTTCATCATCAAACTGACTGTTGTAATGTTTCGGATTTTTATTGCTTCTGTACAGTTTTTTGTTTTTGATTGGTGTCTAGTGTTAATGGCGGTGGTGGTGGTTTGAGTTCAGAGGCAAATCATCTTAGGAATACAACAAAACATATACAGGTGCCATAATGTTGTGTGGTTTTTGTTGTTTTCATCTGCGTACCACAATTTTCAGCATCATTATTGTGTTGTTGCAGTTGTTGTTTTTGTCGGTCTTTGCCGCCCCTTGTGTTCGAGTGTTTGTGTGCGTGTGTTTGTTGTTGCAGCAGTGTAGCATGCATGCCCAACAATTGTTTGAGATATTGCAGTCAGTGGTTCTTAAACAGGTGCAAAACACTTATCAACTATCAAACTCACTTGAGAGAACTCAATTGGCTCTATTGCTTCCTTAAGTATCAATATCCTGTAAAAAAAAATATGTGAAAATGATCAACATTTTTGAAAATTTTCTTTGTGAGATAATGGGGCCTAACTCTGGTTAAGTAAATATGATCAGATTTTTCTGAAAAATTTTCCAGAGGTAGGTATTTTTGCCCTAATTATAGGGTTATGGGTTTTGGATCCCGATTTTTTTGAAATACTCCCTAAAAGTCGAACTTAAAAATGAGTATCATTTTAAAGCTTCTAAAAATACCTTTCCATTTTAAACTGTGCAGTTCATTGAGTTCGGCACCCCGAGAGTGACAGGGCGAATATGAGTGTACTACGTCGCATAAGGAGGGCACACCAAGTCAAGGAGGTACCACCATATTTTACGAAGTTATACTGAGCTTTGGTGACACACGTGTACCAAAGGCCACCGTCAAGAAACCCGTGGTACGATCAGGAGTGTCGTAATGCTACTGATATGAAAAACGCAGGGTATAGGGAAACCCTGCAGACAATAGCAATACGTAATGCGATGGAGAATTATCGGGAGAAAAGGAGGGAGGAGTAACGTATTTTGAGAAAAAGAAGAATGAACAAGTAAAACGTGAGCGTGATCAAATCGAAATGTACAGGAGTCAGAAAGAAGTCCGAAATTTTACCAACGAGTAAAACACCAAACCGAAGGCTTTGGTGCAGACACATCCTTCTGTAGTGACAAATACATACAGCGTGTTGGGGATCTGGAAGGAGCATTTTGAAAAACTTCTGGTATCAAATAGGGGCGGTGAAGAAGATACCTCAGTGCCAATAAAAGATGACGGTATAGAGTGTATACTACCTAGCTAAGATGAGGTCAGAATAGCAATTATTTGGCTGAATAATAATAAAACAGCAGTTGCCGATGGAATACCAAGCGAACTATTCAAGACCGGTGGTCAGATGCTGGTCAGGAACATCCACCAGCTGATTAGTACAATTTGGCTAGAGGAATGCATGCCCAATGGATGCTGAGGTTATCCTGTGTTTCGTGCACAAACAAGGACACAAGACGATATGTACCAACTATAGAGGAATTAGTCTCCTTCCCATCGCAATTTAAGTTGCTATCCATCGTGATGTGTGAACGACTAAACCAATGGTCAATGACATTTTTGGACCATACCAATGCGGCATCAGACCTTTCAAATCCACCATAGAACCAAACGCCAAATCTTGGAAAAGACCCACGAAAAATACATCTATACATTCCAACTATTCGTTGAGTATAAAGACAGAGGTATTTAAAGTCATGTCTGCTTTCGGTATTCCTACGAAATTAATAAGGCTATGCAGGATAACTCTTAAATGGCAGAAGATCAGCAGTTAAAGTCGGAAAGGACCTCCCGGAGCCCTTCAATACTGAACGAGGGCTAAGACAAGGTGACAGCCTCTCGTGTGACCTTTTTAACATCCTACTGGAAAAGGTCATACGAGAGGCAAAGTTGAATAGAAATGCCACTCTGTACACCGAACAACAAATGTTACTCGCCCACGTCGATGATATCGACATAATGGGTCGAATATTGCGATCCGTAACAGCAAACTTTGAACAAATTGAGACGGAGTCTGCTAAAGTGGGTCTGACACTAAATGGCGAGAAGACGAAGCTGACGGTATCAACGCGCAAGGCGTCCAGTAGACTCGGACTAACTGTGAAACTTGAAAACTGCAGCTTCGAGGTAGTCAAAAATGTTATTTATCTCGGTACCGCCATAAATAAAAGTAATAAATTCGGAGAAGGATAGTGTTGGCCAAAAAAATGCTACTATGGTCAATGTAAGCAGTTTAGAAACAACGCCAGCTCTCGCCGGACCAAACTCACAATCTACAAGACGCTGATACTACCCGTCCTCTGGTGAATGGATCAGAAGCATGGGTACGTGCGCAAACAGATAAGGCAGCTCCTGGAGAGTTTGAGAGAAAAATTATCCGAAAGATCTACGGGTAGATCTGCGTTGAGGGTGAATATCGGTGCCGAATGAACCACGAGCTTTAACATCTATACACGGACATCAACATAGCCGTGTCGAGCTGCAGCGACTACAGTTGCTAGGCCAAGTTGTGCAAATGGATGAGGATGGCGCAGCTCAAATTAACTTTATTACAAATAAAATTATTTTTCTGCCATAGTTTTAGCTTTATATTATGTTAATCTCTCAATACAAAATTGTAAATAAATTGAAATTGAAATTTTTTATAAATTCAATATCAGGCAAATGGAAGATCCGATCTGAACCAAACATTGCACAACCCATTATCCTTACGAAGTCTAGATTAAGTCAAATCTGTGTCTAATTCCGAAGACCTCCGCAAACCACTTCCCAAATTCAATTATATTGTTGTCTTTTTTAAAAAACGTTTAAGAATCTCTGATTTGGCAACATCGTCAGGTAGGAAAACGGCGATGTTGCACAACTCATTTTTCGGTGAGTTTTCCCATCAGTAGCAGCAACAGCAGCATGTGTGTTCGTTCACTTCTGTGCCACTTGAATTTTCCCATAAACAACAATAGAAATGTGTAAAGTTGCTCAATGTGCATCTATTATAAACAACAGCAAAAACAACAACAACAACTTTGTTCACAACTGCAATTTATAAATTTTCACTTTTTTCTACATATGATTTTTATTGATTTAGTAGCCGCTTTTAATTGACTAATACCGTTTGTTTATTATTCAGTATTCATATTATTATTATGTGACGTTAAATTCTTATCATTTACTTATTTGTTGTTCTTTCTTTTATTGTAGTGTTCTAATCAACATTTGTATCACGTCATCACGTATTGAGGCAGAAAGGAAGCGCAAATACATGGATGGGTAGGGGTACTGCTACTACCTATGACCAATTAATAGAAAACATTCAGCAACTGAACTAATGTAAAATATACAGCCAGCAACAATAACAACTAAAACAACAACGAACAAATAAGAAATAGAACAAAAATTGTGTTTTTATTTTCAAAGGCACACCAAATTATAAAAGTATTAAAATAATACAAGCAGCAGAATACCCCGCCACCGGCCTATTTTCCAATAAATGCATACATGGTCGTCACTTAGAATACTGTGATGATAATAGTATAGACCCGACCGAACACACCGCTCGCCGAACTACAAAGATTAGCAAGAAGACAAGAAGGCAAGCGGGTAAACAGCCGGCGGTCACCAAACACTCACTGCACTACATAAATGTTGTCTAAAGCAAAACGAAATTTGTAATAGCACAATCAACAACAACAACATTATCTATTTGTGGATTTAACATAGAAAATTTATTTTGGCGTTGCTGTTGTAAGAACAAAACAAATAACAAGACCCATTCATAAGCAAAGCGAAAGAGTGGGTGTTAACAGCATTTTAAATATTCCGGCAATTCAATTCAAAGAAATCTCCCCACAAAATGAGTTGGCTACGTTCAAGTCCTTTGCGTCAAAGTTTAACACGTACACAAAGTAGTAATGGTGGTAGTTCATCAACAGGTGGTGGTGGTGCGGCTGCATCTACACAAAATTCCATATTACGCCAAAGGCCCATAGACACAGCCACAGATTGTGATCCACGAGCATGTTATGATAGTTTTTGTAAACATTGGCAGCAGGCCTATGAAATAATACAAAAATCGCATGGACCAAATAGACCACCACCAACACATGATGATGTCCTGGCTGTGGTGTCACATTTAGATTTTATGGTCACTCTGCTGCTGGTAGAATTACATCATTGTAATAAAATTACATTACCCGATGCATCGAATACACCACCAGCACCCTGTTTGGAATATTTGCTAAGTGAAAATCTTCTGGACAAACTGTACGAATGGGGTTGTACAACGGGTCGTTATGCCAATGCTGTACGATTGGAACAATTGAAACTTTACGAACTATTGGTTAGCCATTCAAGGCATCAGTTATTGTGTCATGAACCATTTTTAAGGCCACTACTAAAAATATTGGCATCGAGTCAAGGTGAAATATTTCCACCGGATTTGGAAAAACGTTTGGTCATACTACTCAATCAGTTGTGTGTGCTGTTGATGCAAAATGTACATTTATTGGATTTGTTTTTCTTTTCGTCCGCGCAAGAGACACAAAGTAAAAATAAGTAAGTATTTGAAATTTGCAATGAGGCTAAAAATAAGAGGTGTTATTTTTTTAATTATTCGGTATTTTGCTAGCTGGACAAAGAGGAGTCAGAACCGTACAAAACATATTGAATTTTTGTTTTTAGTATTTGTGTTGATAGTAGGGAAGCAGAGCTGAACCCCAATATTATTCATTGGTTAGCTGTGAAATAAACAATCGGGATAGTCTCAGACGAAATTGCGGAGTGCCTGAGAATCAGTCGTCAGTCCTAGGATGATGACTCAATTCCACGGCGACTTCGCCGTTACGTTACGTCGCTTCATGAGTCGTCGTCCGATTCGTCATCTGAATCGTCATTGTCGGAGTTCGAGACACCCCCGCAGTCTCCTCAACAGCAAAACGCGCAGCATTTAACACCACATATTTCTGTTCCGCGCCTAGAAAATGCATCGTTCTTGTAGTTCAACTGCGATGGTCTTCGCAACAAAATCAGCGAAATTGTAGAGTTTATGAGTCGAAGGAGAATAATGGTCGGTGCGATTCAGGAAACCAAGCTAACCGAGAACTGCAGCTTGCAGCGTTGCGATGGTTACAACGTTGTGCGGAAGGGCCGTACCAGAAGCGGAGGTGGCGGACTTTCATTCTTATTACACCATTCTGTCCAGTAGAGACCTATCTCGCTTGAGCTAGACTTCAGTGACCCATACATGGAATGTATGGGGGTAGCAATCAAGTGTGGGGGTACCAATCAAGTGTGAAGTGCAAAATGTTTATATACCGCCGATGAATAGCTGTACACCGCGTTACTTACCGGATATCAGTGCGCTTTTAGAAGGAAATAACCGCCTGGTACTAGCAGATTTCAATGCCCACCATGAGTTGTGGCATTCCGTCCTAGGTAATGACCACTGGCTGAGCAAATTGATAGCTCAACATTTTGTACATTTAATTAGGATGCCCCCACGGGGATAACAGGATATTGCCACAGCTCGCCAGACATCACCATTATGGCACAGGGGCTGATAAATGAGTAACCTGGCAGCCCGTCATTTCACTCGGCTCAGACCACCTTCCGATCATCGTCTCCGTCAACAGACCACCAAACTTTATAACCTCTACACACCGAACTTTCCAGAACCATGGGACATATGTGTGAGGATGAACGACGAGATAGAATTAGCAGCCTTCTTTAAAGCGAGGAATATGAAAATATCCCCCACAAAGTGGTCAGCCACATTATTCACCACATGGACTGCGGAAATGAGAATGCCGTTGAATGTGCAGGTCGAGAGGCATACATTTTCGACCACCAACTACCCCAAAATACTCGGGCTCCCATTCGACAGTATGTTTAAATCGTCCGCACAAACCACAGCTATCTGCGATAAATTGAAAAATAGGAACAATGTCCTCAAGTCGCAGCACTTGGGGCGCAGATAAGGAAACCTTGTTGACCTCTCACAAAGCGATAGGTCGGTCTGTGGCAAGCTATGCGGTTCCAGTGTGATCTTGAATAAGACTCCCGCACTCAGGCGTTTCAGGAAGGATCAGCATGATCTAGAAAGAGAGGTTCGACGTTACAAAAGGGTCTGAATAGCATTTATACTGATGCAGTAGCCGCAGCGCTGAACGGGTACAGAATATATCCGCCACATAGCAGCTGTAGAACGGATGCCCAGACAAACCAGAGTTATTGGCCCAATTACGTTCAGGACTGCGGAATTCGTATTGGCCACGGATTGATGACCAGGTGCAGGATGTCTGCCCAGCAAGTGGTACGGGCCCTTATAACACACTGCACTTATTTAATTGCCCAGCCAAATATACACATCTTGCTCCAGAAGATCTGTGGTTACAGCCAGTGGAGGTAGCTGCATTTCTAAATTTGGAGACAAAACCAGATGAAATTTAAACAGAAAAAAATATAATTCATATAAACTGATACAACAACAATACAGTAGCTTCACATGCCATAACCTACTGATGCTTTCGACGTTTATTTATTTTAAAATGATATTCCGATCTCAAAAATGAAATAAAACACCTCTTATAAGCGCCATTTGTTACAAACAAAAATACTATTTTTATTAATTAATTTTTTTTTTCAGTTTCATAATCTTCTCCCTGCTCATACCCTATGTCCATCGTGAGGGTAGTCTGGGACATCAGGCCAGAGATGCACTCCTCCTGTGCATGGCATTGTCGCAAAAGAATTCCAACATTGGTACATATATAGCACAATACTCATCAATGTGTCCACTGTTGGTAACTGGTCTGGGTGGTCTATATTCTCGCCTACCAAATTCCATAGAAATTAATTCGATTGATTGGCATCGCATAACACCGGATGATGTTACCGAAATTCCCGAACTAACCCTCTTTATGAATGCTTTGGAATTTTGTAACGCTGTCGTCCAGGTGGCCCATGAAATGATTAAAACTCAATTGTTGGATTTTATGTATCAAGGGTTTATTGTACCCGTATTGGGTCCAGCTTTATTGCAGGTATGTTCTAAAAGCCATAACAAGCGAGAATTCATTGTAAAGCTCACACTCATTGCACAATGTTGAATTGTTGTTACATGTGTGTGTGTGTGTGAGTCTGTAATGATTGTCCTCATTGTTTTTTTCTCTCTCCGAAAAGAAAAAAATTGTTTTCGATTTTTATGTGGTGTTGGTTTTTTGCACATAAATCACAAATTATGTGTCCATATAAATTTAATTGCATACTTTAAGATTTGGAATGTTTTTTGGAATTAAAATTGGAAAATTATTTGTATGGAATTGCTTGAAAATGTTTTGGATCATATTATTCATATTTTTCATTTGTAAAATTGTTGAATCGTTAAAAAAATAGTAATAATATTTTGCCAGTATTAAATTTGGTACAAGAAGAGGATGGAGCTAGAATCCTGAAATTTGAAATTAACATTACCGTCGGAGTGTAGGATTGGAATATGTACGTGGTTTTGATTTACTTATGCGTACGAAAAGTACTAAATCGTACTATAATTGGTACAATTTTGTATATTCGGGTGAACCGATAGAGCTGGAATCCTGACATTTGGAGTTAGGATCATAGTTGGAGGGTAGAATTAAGTTATTTAGAAAGTTTGGGAAATTCCAACTCATGTGAACTAAATTTGTACAATTTAAATTTTGAGTGAACCGATGTAGGAAGTTTTGAAAATGTGTACTAAATTGATACATTGGTTTCTTTTTGGCTACCAAATTTCTCCACTAAAAATTATAAATATAGGCCCATATCTTTTCGGGTAGCCCCCATATAACGGTACCACCCATATTAAGGTATTTTGGGAGTTTTAAGCGGGGTTTTTGAACCGAATTCGCTGAAATTTGGTACAATGGGTTCTTGTTGGGTACCAAATTTTTTCACTAAAAATTATAAATATCAGTCCAATTTTTCGTGTAGCACCCACATAAGGTCTCCCTCAATTTACGATATTTTTGGGGTTCTTGAGCGCATTTTTCAACTGAATTCGGTGAAATTTGGTACAATGGGTTCTTATTGGGTACCAAATTCCTCAACTAGCATTTATAAATATCGGTCCATTTTTTCTGTTAACCCCCATATAAGGGCACCTCCTATTTACGTTATTATGGGGGATCTTGAGCACGTTTTTCAATCGAATTCGTTTAAATTTGGTATAATGGGTTTTTATTGGGTACCAAATTTCTCAACTAAAAATTATAAATATAGGACAATTAATAATAACAAAATTTATTAATACTCGTCCTATATTTATAATTATTAAATATAGGACGAATATTAATAAAAATTATTAATATTCGTCGCCCCCTTTTAGGGGTAGTTCCCATATAACCCCCTTCTTATATTAAAATATTTAGCTGATTAGTTCTGTGTATGTGGGGGTTGTCCCCATATAAGCGTATTCCACCATAGTATAGGGGATAGTCGTTACTCGATATATTCAGTTTTACCCTACAAATTATGAAATTCTAAGACGATTTAGCCATCGGTTGTAATCATTCCGCTTAGAAAGCGGAATGATATCAATATCAATAACGATATCAATATATATATATATATATAATAAATACAAATATTTCACACACTCTTTAAAACAGTTTTCCAAAATTATAAAATGTAGCTTTATTAAACCCTGCTATGTCTTAATTTTGCTGTCCTCCATTCAAATCATTCTCTATATTTTCTTGTACTTCTTGTTCTCTTCATTTAACCCTGGTAATCTGTGCTTTGTCGCCGTCGCTTTTTAACTTTCCCAAAAGAACTATCTCTCATATTAACCACACCGAATAATTAATCTTGTTCAAAGCGAATAAAAATCGAAACAATTTTTTTTTTTTAATTTTCAATTCCACACACACGATTACACCATTTCACAGACATTAAAAGGCAAACATTTCCAGACAAATGTCGATTCACAAATATCTGCAATGTCATATTTGGATTTAATCCTGCGTTCGGTGACGGAACCAGATCTAATGAAGCTGTTCGTTAAATTCCTGCTCGATGCTGAGAAATTTGATGGTGAACGGATATTAGATACTCTCGTGGAGCGCCTCAAATCACAAGATCCAAATTTATGTATGGTAACAATGGCATTGTTCGACACGCTACTCGGCCTATATTGTGAAGATTTAATGTTGGAATTGTTATTGAAATTTTTACTGCCGGGTAAACATGTACCCATATCATATCGTCACAAAATCAATCGTATCGATCCCTACACAAATGCATCCGATTTCTTTTTGAATCTAACGCCAGATGTTATGAAAAGAGTTCGTGAACTGACAAAGCACAAACATTTGGGTGATACGGCGCACCATACCCATCCGACCATGCCATCACCCACCTCTACGTTAAGTAAAACTATAGGAGCGAATTGGAATTATTATGGCTTGCATACGGGCGATAGTTTATATGCCAATTATCATGCGTATTTGTTTGAGGCCCATTTACGTATAGTCCAGTGTTTGAATGCCTGTTCGGTGTGGTCAAGTGATTATCGATATCAAAAATGGCCACGTAAATCGGCGAAAGCCTGTAATCAGACACTGGAAATGGTCAAGGAGTTCTTCAATGAATTTAGCTGTGGCAATGCGGCGGAACAATCAAATGTTGTGTCATCAACAACGGCTGCGACTTCAGCGTCGTCGGGTGTACCTCTAATGATGACCTATGATGATAAAAAACAATTGGATAGCTTACAATCGATTGGTGAATCCAGTGGTTATGAATCATTTAAATGGCGACCAGCCGATGAAGATGGCGGCGGCCACATGGATGAAATACAAAATAGTAGTTGTCCAATTGGCACTGGTAGTGGTTTACAGTTTGCCTTAGGCGGAGAAGTGGACTTGGATGCCAGCAATTGTAGTAGCGGTAAAGGACAATCAGCTGGTGGCAGTATGTCCGGCAAAAGAGATTATTGGCGCGTCTCAAAACATCGCAGTGAATTACATTTAACCGATTTGGATTTTTCTGAAGATCTTTTTGCCCAGGGGACTGTATCATTGGGTAAGTGCAATTTTTATTTTATTGTATCTGACTGACTTTTGGAGTAGTTCATGTATTGTTGGTTATGATATAATTAAGTGATATTCTGTTAAATTTAAACAATTTTAAAGAAGTTTTTACCATGGCCCTTTGGGCTAGGTTCTTGTTTATGAAATAAATTGAAATTGAAATTAACGATGACCCTCATTTCAATTTTAAGATTTTAGCTTTAGACGTTTCGTCTTTTAAAAAATCCACGCCTTTTTAGGTCCCTTGAGAAATATTCTTTAAAAATCTAATATTGTTTAAAAAATCTACGCCTTTTTTGGTCCCTTGAGAAATATTCCTTAAAAATCCAATATTGTTTAAAAAATCTACGCCTTTTTTGGTCCCTTGAGAAATATTGTTTAAAAAATCTACGCCTTTTTGGGTCCCCTGAGAAATATTATTAAAAAAATGCACGCCTTTTTGGGTCCCTTGAGAAATATTGTTTAAAAAAATCTACGCCTTTTTGGGTCCTTAACAAATATTCTTAAAAAACTTCACGCCTTTTGTGGGTTCTTAAAAAATATTATTTTTAGTACTTTTCGGATACTTAAAGTAATAAAATGTACTTAATTTTGTACAATTTCGTAGCGTACGAAATTAAAATAGAGCTAAAAACTTGAAATTTGGAATGCCGAATTATGGTTGAGAAGTAGGGTCGATATAAGGAAATGATTTTGAAAGCGTGTACTCATGTATACGAAAAGTACTATATGGTACTAATTTTGTACAATTTTTAATTGGAGCTGGAATTATGAAATTTTAAATTAACATTACAGCCAGAGGGTAGGATTGGAAGATAGTAGTTTTGGCATTTTTTACTTATGTGTACGAAAAGTACTATATCGTACTATAAATGGTACATTTTGAATTTGGGAGAACCGATAGAGCTGGGATTCTGAAATTTGGAGTTAGGATCATTTTCAGGATGTAGGATTGATGTATTTAAAAAATTTTGCAAATTCGTACTAATGTGTGAGATATAGTACCATTGTTGGAGGGGGAATTGAGCTATTGAGAAGTTTTGGAAATTCGTACTAATATGTACTATATTTGGTGCAATTTAAATTTTGGCTGAGACGATGTATAAATTTTTGGAAATATACCAAATGTGGATTTGGGAAGGTCACTGTTGGGCTGTAGGATTGGGATATGTAGAATGTTTTGGAAATGTCTACTAAAACTGAACTGATATTCACGAAATTTTACAAACATCATTCTAGACTCAATTCAGTACGCTATGCCAAATTTCGTGCATATCTAAAGATATATAGGGACTTTGTTGCACCATTTACATTAAATCGGACGAATTGGGAGCTATATCTAAATCTGAACCGATTTTCACCAATTTCAACTGGGTTCGTCCTTGGCCCAAATAAATGAGCAGTGCCAAATTTCATCCAAATCGGATTAAAAATGCGACCTATACTTTGTTTACAATTTAAAATCAAAAGACGGACGGACATGCATAAATCGACTCAGAAAGTAATTCTATGAATATTCTCAAAAGGAACCATGGGTCTATCTCGATTCCATTTGTCTGTTACAAACATATGCACATTCCCAGTACCACAGTGTGGTTATATTTTCATTGTATTTTTTGTTTTTTCAGGTCCCTTTCTTAATGCAATTTGGTCTAAATTACAAACATTCACCAGCAATACTCTGTATGTCAATTTACATTTAACGGGTCTGATAACCCGTTTAGCCTGTTACCCCTTACCGCTCATACACTCAATTCTACTACGTCCGGATATAGTTATTACCACAGATACACCATCGTTTCATCAAGTTCTACGTATACTCAAACAGCAAATAGATGCTGAATTACCCGTAGTCGAAGATTCACTCGAAATTATTGATGTTGCCCGATCGTACTTAATCGATCGTGAATTTCGTCTAATGAATGCCCGCAAAGCAAACGACAACTCTCCCATACATGTGGCCAAAACATTGTCAGCAGCCACGGCGGCAACACACCAACAACAATCAACATATGCCCATTTATCAGCTAGCTCTCCAGTCCAGGTTACACCATCGTCATCGTATGACCCCTTCAAACGTAATGATGCCAAACGGAAAAGTATTAGTAAATCATTTACGAGTATGTTTAGCCGTAAATCGAGTGGTAAGTTGAAGTTTCCAATGAAGTCATACAATGTCACACAACAGAACAACCAACCATTACACATACTTTGTTTTTTTTTTCTTTACTTTACTCAAACACTTACAAGTTTGTTTTTTTGTGGGATTAAAGGTGACATTTATTTTCCGTTTTTTGTTTTTTTTTTTCTATATACTATTTAATTTAGGGGAATCTAAAGATCTTTAAAATTTACATTTATTTTTACATTGCCATTAATTTCATTGTAATCATGAACAAAACTAATTCTATCCAACTCTTGCTACCAACCAACATAACATACAAACAAACAGCATACTGAACAAATACGGAAACACTGAAAAAATAAATACGTTTATAAACTAAAATTTGAATTTTTGCATTAATATCATTAATTTTAATATTTTTGTTTTTCTTTTTTCATTTTTATTTTTGTTTTTTCTTTACAATACAATCCTTAGCTACATCTGGCTTATCACAAATTTATGCATTCTTCACCGGTAAATATTTCACTTTACTTGGTATCCATTTAGTTTTCGCTTCAAATGTTATTGTTGTTATATCCTATTATCTTTCCCTTTCTCTATCTCTGTCCGTAGTGTTTGTTGTAGTTTTTTTTTTCTATATATTTTTTGTATCATTTGTGTGCTTTTTTAATTATTTATGTATATCCGGCACACAAATTTGTCTTAATGTTTTTATTACACTCTTTTTCGAAATCTTCCTGCACATCCTGAATTAATTGTTTTTTTTTTTTTTTTGTAAAGCTTATTCTTTCTTTCGAATATACATACATATGTATGTACATCCTTTTATATTTCCTAATCATTCCATCACTATATAAATATAAATATGAATAAGTATGGACCTGATTCAGTACTCTGTGCAAAATTTATATATTGGGAGTTTGGTGCATCATTAACATAAAATCGGACGAAACTATATGTGGGAGCTATATTTAAATCTGAACCGATTTTCTCCTTAGGCCAAATGAGTAAACTGTGCCAAATTTCATCCAAATCGGATTATAAATGCGACCTGTACTTTGTTCACAAAAATACATGGACGAACGGGCAGATAGACGGACATGCGTAAATCGTCTGAGAAATTAATTCTATGCGTATTCTTAAAATGAACCTTGTGTCTATCTCGATTCCTTTTGCCCTACACTACAGTGTGGTGAAGGGTATAAAGATTTCCAGGCGCGTCGGTTTTTGTCTCATCTCATCCAATTTGAAAGACCATTTTCCGAGATATTGTCTTCGACTTGATCTTTCCATCGGATTCGTGGTGTTCCCCTTCCGCGTGAAGCATCACTTGGCTCGCTTTTATATGCCTTCTGAGCTGGGGCATTCTATTCATTCTCACAAGATGGCATAGCCAACGTAGTCGCTGCAGCTCGATCTTCCTGACAATGCCGATGTCCGAGAATAGATGATACAACTCATGGTTCATTCACCCCTATTGTTTTTGGCAAAGATCGGTTAATATTTAGGAGATGAAGTGGACCAAAAACGTTATTTTTGTCTGATTTTCTGGTCGTTCAAGAGGCCGCAATTATGGTCCAAACATCGCGAATTTTTACATGGAGAAGGAGATCGGGCCAAAGAATAAGCATGCCTGTTTTGATCAAGATCGGTCAATATTTAACGGGTCAAATGGACCCTGACTTTTGTGTGAAACATTACAAAATTTGTATTCTATAGCGTATATATTTACCCCTGATGGACATAGGCCCGAGAAGTTGATAGTATATCCAAGAGGAGCGGTTGACCTTTAAATTGATACCTATTATATTGTCGTATGTAGTCGATTGTGAAGGTTACACTTAAATATTTACAGGTGATTACGTATTCAGATATTATTTAGTAACCCATTACCACATAAGGTACCAGTTATGGTCAAGGACAACGCCTATAATTTTCGGTGATGATCAGATTAATTTAAGGAGGAAGTGGACTGAAAACTTAATTTGTGTGTGTGTTTTTTTCGAGTCGATTTAACCCTTTGAGCCCCGAATTTTTTTCCGCAGTATTAGAACAAATTTATGTTCACAGATTTAATGCAACTATCCTATATAGGATATACACAAAATTTGACATAGCTACATTCTTGCATTCGGGAGATACAGTACATTCTTTCGGAAAAATTAAAGTCCAATATCAAGAAAACCAAATGCAACATCGACAGAAAAATCATTTTAAATTATTCTCTATATTCATTTTTACAAGAAACAAAAATAATTCTAATGACAGAATTCGTAAACTTTGAATACGAAGCGATTTAAATTATTTGGACTGTATACACAAATTAGTACTGTACACAAATTTACCTTCTTCTCTATATTGAAAAGCTCATAACTTTACCAAAATGTTGAATTTTTTTGATTTTTCTTTTGATATGTGTCGTCCGTAATCAGGTCTTGACATATGAAATCCAAATAATATATATCTACTAGCTGCATATATAATATAAGATCTAAAACATTTTGTTGCCTGTGGGCAACATTGGGCCACAAAGGGTTAAAGGCCACAATTATAAGCCGAACATTACCATACAATTCACAGTGAAGGGAATCTGGACAAGTAATTAGAAGGGCTGTACTGAGTATTAGTAATATTCGGAAAATATGTCAGTGTAAGAAAGAGGTGCTGTTGACCTCTAATCGGGCAAGGGGGTGCAAATATCAGGAAATACTGTCCAGGCTCGGAGTAAACATCCGCAGAAAGTTGTAATTCCTTGGTAGTTGTGTAGGGTATCGTATGGTCGGCCCTGTCCGACTATACTGCTCCTCTCTAAGATAAAGAATTCAGGGTCCACAGAATCCATTCTCTTTTTCATTAGAAACATATTTTTAGGGGAACTCAGCATCCATTTTTTCATAAAAACAATTTGACGAGCTCCTGGACTCATTTATTTTAATAGAAAAAATTGAGGTATCTCAGGACCTACTTTCTTCTAAAGAAAAAACTTTTGTATGACCACAGCTTTAATTTTTTCAATACATATTATTTTCAGGTTATCGGGGCGTATGATTGGTGACAGTAGTTATACGCCACCGAATACTAAGAATTGTTTTATGGTGATTTTAAAATTAATTATTCTCCGATCTCAATACCCACGATGTGTTTTTCGTGTTTTTTGGCGCAAATTGAAAATCTGGTCAATGGTGGATTTGCCAAGTCTGAAACCGCATTGATATGGAACATTGGCAGTCGTTCATACAGCACACTGGGTAACACTTTATATGCGATGGGAAGAATACTAATTCCTCTATAGTTGACACATATCGCATTGTCTCCTTTTTTGTGCACGGGACACAGGACGCTGAGGTTCCAATTATTGGGCAAAGTGCATGCTCAAAGCCAAAGTTTACTAATAACCTGGTGCATGCTCCTGACCAGCATCTGACCACCAGTCTTGAATAGTTCGGCTGGTAATCCATCGGCACATGCTGCTTTATTGTTCTTCAGCCGATTCATTGCTAATCTGACCTCATCTTGGCTAGGTGGTATACACTATATACTGTCATCTCTTATTGCTTCTAGGGCATCTTCTTCACCGCCACTATTTGATACCAGAAGCTTTTCAAAATGCTCCTTCCAGATCCTCAACCCGCTATCTGTATCTGTCACCAGGTTTCCTTCTTCGTCTCTACAGGAGGATGTGTCTGCACCAAAGCCTTGGGTTTAGTGTTTTACGCGTATATGCTCAATATTTCAACGGGAGGTCAGTGTCCACAATTGAGATGAAAGAGTGACCAAGATAAGCCTGTGCTTCGCCATGTTAAAGCCAATCAGAGCCGTTGCTTGGTATCCGTCATCCCTTACGTGATTTAGTCATAATGTCAATATTTTTTAGCAGTAGCTGTTTAAAGCTAATGTTAATATTTTTTGATGCTGTATTTTAAACCCTGGTGTCGATACAATCTTTTTACTGGATGTTGTTCGTTTACTTTTTCAATGTTATCTCTTGAGAGGGAAAAATCGTATTTATTCTCTGCAAATTCTTACTGAGTAAATGTTACTGGGAAAGAAAACGAACAAACCTATTATAGTCTTTGTTCATCTTTTTGGGGTGGGAATGTCATTACAATTAACTGTTAGTGTGCCTATGGCGGAGGTACTTTTTAATTTTACTAAAATACTTTTCTTCTTTTTTTATAACATATAAGGTAAATTGAATATTTCAAATATATATTTGTTAATATGTTTGTTTAATATTTCCTGTTAAAAAATATTACCTCTAGATTAACAGCCTGTTTTTGTAAAATTCCAAACGAACGAATTCGAGTGACTTACGACCAAACTCCTTGGTTTTGAAAAATATGTCATTTATTTTTGTTTTGAATCAGAAAACCTTTATAAACATAAATAAAGGTTTGGTCGTATGTCACTCGAATTCGTTCGTTTGGAATTTTACAAAAACAGGCTGTAACTCTTGTAATGAGCATGCTTACATATCTTTTCTCTCTCGCTTTTAAATGTTAATAATAATATTTGCGCTTTTTATAGTGTATTTAACAAGTATTTTCAAATAAGATCATGACGTAGTTGGAAAATCTAAATTTTCCAACATGTTCGTTATGTGTATATAATCCGCTAATGGTATTTTATTAATATTTAGCATTCTATATAAATGTTGTAAATACAAATCAACTGTGAAAAACATTTTGGTTTGGCACTATTCTAAAAAATAACTATTCAATATCCACAGGTGGAATTTCGGGATCGAATAATAATAGTAACTCGGTGACATCGACAACATCAACGAATGGCGGCAGTGGTCAAAATTATCCATCATCCACATCAAATAGCAGCACACGTGAAACAAGCCTTACAACTTTACCACCGTCGGGAATAAAACCAAATGTCAGTGGTGGTAGTGTTACAACTTTAAGCTCAATGGATCAACATACCCATCATGAACGGGGTAGCAGTGTTAGCAGTACAACAACAATACAATCAAATAGTTCTACATCACAATATCAACACAACAACAACAGCAGTAGCACCGTGGCACACAATCTTTCATCGGCAACTTTGTCATCGTTGGGCGAAAGGGCTGCTGGAGGTGGTAACTCAACGGCCCAATCGGCAAACATTTTAATGAGCAACATTATGGCTAGCGGACAAAATTCCGGTCCAGCCTCATTGGATTCGTTGTCATCAACATTGGGTGGTATTGCTAATACCAGTGGCGGTACCGAACGTACCCGTGATTTGGCACTGTGTGCGGTTCTCTTAGACGAATGGCTCAAAGAATTGGCTGCTATAGCTCAAGAACAAAGTGTTGTTATGATCAATGTTGGCTACTGACATCAGACAAAATATCGGCGGCGTCATCATCACTATTGTCCACACCAGTATCATCATTTCTACTACTATCGTATGCCAATCAATTGTTTTTGTTGTTGATATATACATACATTTAAATATTAAGATACTAAAGTTATACAAAACAAAACAAAAAAATCTGCATATCTTTTTGTAAGATATCTTCGCCTTTTATGTATGCGCTATAAAAAAGAAAAAAAAAAACACAAGCAAATGGTCAACAAAAATTTCAGTTTAACAAAATGAAAAAAGTTTCACATTATTGTGAAATGTGATAAAAAATTTAAAAAAAATCGTTTAAAGTTTATAGAATGTGATTATGTAACGTCTATCTTAATAGAAAAATGTACCAATTAAAATTGGTTTGAAGTTTTGTTTTGAGTATTTGTTGGTAAAGTCTTCCAGGCGTACGAACAAACAAATATTGTACACAATCAAAAAATTAAAAGAAGTTACCCGAAATCCTTTAATGTTTAAAATGTATTTTCCAAATTATGTTACGATTAGTTATTTAGAATAGTTCGGTTAATTAATCGGTGAGCATATAACAAAAAATGTTCCCCATTTTTTTTCATATACCTTTGCAACTTTTTTTTTTTCTATTAAGATAAACGAAATGTTGACCACACACCAATCAATATATTTTGTAATATATATATATAAAACAAAAAACCAACAAATGACAGCTTTCGAGATGTGATGTATTATGTGTTACATGTTTTTGTTTTTCCTTTCTTCATCATTATTTTAAATATTATTTGTTGTTAATTATAATAGTAGTTGTTTCAAATACAGTGTTTGTTTTTTAGAAGTGTATTCGAAAGAAACATCCCTTTTCTTCTGTGTTAAAGGAAACATATTCCAAAAATAAAAAAAATTGTTTATATTGATATGATTTTTTACATGCATGTAGTATGTATGTGTCCTCTTTTTTAGATTGTATCAAAATCAAATACATCACATCCTGTCTCAAAACTGTCGATCTTCTTATATACACATTTTTTGTATACATACATAAGTAAGAATAATAGTAGTTGTATACTAATGAAAAATTAAAGAGCAATATTTATATAAATATACATATAAAGATTTTGACCACATTTTTGTTTTTTTCTTTTATTTTTTTGTATTATATTTGAGATGTTTTGAGATGTTTTCTGGATGTCATTTCCACGTGAATTTACTCGCTCTTCCCCTTCGACTTATTCTGAACAACTTTTCACATTACCACGGAATGTATAAAGGTAATAAGGAATATATAAGCCGAGTTTTGGATAAAGACATGGGAATCTGTCCCTTCACAAAAACCAATTCATAAAAATTATGGAAAAAGCACATAGCCAAATTTGCCTGATGAGCCGCTGAATATGATTTTTAAAGGTCAAAAAAAATATCATAAAATAATTTGCCACTTCAAGAATTTGGAGAGATGAAATATCGAAATTAAATAAAACGGAACACAATTATGTAGTGAGACAATAAATTGCGAATTAATATAATCTAATCGCAGATTTCTTCCCATTATTCGTTGTGTCTTTGACATCGTTCAGTATGGTTTTTGCCATCATAAAACAATTGTTGCACCAAATTGCATCAAAACAAAAAACAGCTGTTTCACATGCCATATTGTATGTTGTCATATCTTCAAACTTTAATTTAATTTCTTTTAATTACATAGCAGTTTTACAGCGTATTCACATTAATATTGTTATAAAGTTTAAATCAAAAACATTTTTTAATCAATAAATAAAATAATGAAAAATATTACAAAATTAAATTACAATGGAGCAACACACAATGCAACTTCCATTACAGTATGGCAACACACATTACAACTTAAATTACAATATGACAACACGAATCTTTTTTCAACCACCATTTTCGAAAAGTCGAATCGAATATTTTTCGTAAAATTTCGCACAAAATGTCATCACATTTTTCCATTCCCTGTAATCCAGAATAACAAATTTTCCCCAAAGCTGATTTTTTCGCTTTCGAATTTGATTCAGAATAAGGGGAAAGTGAAAATGCGGCGAGTTGTGGATCAGTATAACTTTAAAGGGAAGAGCGAACAAATTCACGATGAATTGATGTCCAGAATAAGGCTAATTGACAGTGGTGTCTGTTTACTCGATATTTGGTAACAATTGTTATTAAATGTTGTCTTCTTACCCAAAAATCCAGTAAAAGAGAGTCAAGTGAGAGAGCAAGTTTGGGTTAACGAAATCCGGTTAAATGTAAACTTACTGTTATTGGAGTTTACTGAAATAATTTTATGCAGTAAGATTTTGCAAACTCAGTCATTTTTGGATCAGCTGTTTTATCACCAAACAAAAAAAAATATACAATTTTTTTTTTTAATTTGCAAAGTTCAATTTGAAATTAAGTTGTATAAAAATTACAGAAAATGGAAGAAAATTCGTAAGTAATGCAAAGTTTCATTAAATGAGAAACTAAAACGGCATACACATTAGAACTTTTTACCGGGTTAACCTACTTTATGAGGATTTATTTGACATATATGCAAAGGAATTGGCAATTGCAACCCAACGGGTTAACGAAATCCTGTTAAATGTAAACGTACTATAATTCTTTATATTTTAAAGCAAGTTCCAGAAAGAGGGCAATGTATTGATGCAGGAAGCTTAAATGTTCCCGGGGAACATACCAAATCAATTTTACTTTTATTGTTCATTTTATTTTTAATATTAAATGCAATACAAATAATTGTGTTCGTTCTTTTTTGTTTGTTTATTTTGGCGCAAATAAAAATGTTTTTTTGAATCAGCTGTTTATTTGCTGAATCTTACCAAATGTTGTTTATTTCTCTGAACTAGAACTTACTGAGTAAATGTTACTGGAAAAGTAACCATACATACCTTATATATATTTTTTCAATTAAAATATGTAAGTGCCTCTGTTTTTATAAAAAAATATGTGTCCATTGCTTTATGCACAAATTATAATAAGACATTATACACAACAATATGTATTATTAACATATACAATTTATTTAAAAAAAGACAAGGACAAATCGAATGCCAACGCTTTATATTTAAAAATAAATCTATGTACATACATATATATTAACAATAAAGTGAAATATTATTCAATCGTTCCGCGTTTTTCATTACAATAAAAATGCAGTGTTTCAGAACCTTCAATATTAATTTTTAGAATTGTTGTCCTTCCCAGCAAGAATGAGTTCATAAATTTTGCCTTTTTTCTCCCAATTTTTGTGTACGAAAACACACACACTTAACTAAGTTTTATTTTTATTAAATTGCCTTTTTTGTGATAATATAAAATAATATATAATAATTTAAAAATCAGTCCAATTCCATTTCCTCATTACGTGGGCGTTTCGGTATAGCTCCTGTTGATGGACTTAATTGTGGTCTTTCACTTGTTGACATTTCTTCAATTTTTTGGTTTTGATTTTGTTTTCTTTAAAAGAAAAAAGACACACTAGAACATGCTTTTATATTAATAAAAAATTCGTATTACCTAAATTTATTTGCTGCAAACAAGGCCCCGTCTGGACTGGTTAATTGTTTCAAATATTCTTCTTTCAGGAGTATTGCATCGTTGTTTTCATCCTCTGTTGAGAAATGCACCAAAGCATTGGGTACAAAATCCAATTCCAATAATGTCTTGTCCAAATCCAAAATAGTTTTTGGCGGGATGGTATCTGAAATAAAAATTAAAAAAAATGATTTTAAATTACAATAATCAAAATAATATCATTAATATTTACTTACACAAATAACACGATTGTTGTGGCTTCACCAAAAATGTCTTTGCAAATTCCAGCACATCGGCCACCTTATCCACTGGCTTAAACATACCCTGCAACACATGACGATCTGGAAATTGTATGCGTATGGCACAATTTTTATATTGTGATATTTTTCTCAGCATTGTATTGTTATTTTCAATTTCTCGTAATTTTTCCGTTAGCAGTGGCGCATCGGCATCACCGGTGGCAATTTTACGTAAATCACGTAATACCAATTTGAGATCATTAACCGTTAAATCATAAAATGAATCAGGTAAATCTTCGATTTGACTTTGGGCTGCATCGAGATGATATAGCAAGGCATTACGATCGCCAATCTAAAAAAGGAATTATTCAAAATATTAATTTTCTATTGTATTGTTGTATGATGTAGTAATATGATTTACAATATGATATTCAGGTTCAATTTCTGGTTCCATTTCTTCTATGGCCTCTTCTTGCTCCTTGTTATTTTTGGATGCCTGCATCGATCTACCGGGAGCATCACCCCAATCATATTTTGGTTTTGCCACTTCTTTTGTCGTATTTTCAGTTTTTGAATTTTCTGTACTTCCTTCTTCTTGTTGTTCGTTCTCATTGGTTTTGGTTTCAGGCTTTGGTTCTGCAGCCTTTTTTAGAGATTTCACCAAATCTTTAGTAATGGCAAAACCGCCACCACCACCACCAGCCGATTTGGTAGTTTTAGGTTTTACGTTATCATTTTCATCCTTCTTGGTCTCAACTTTGGGGGCAGGTGGAGCATAAACCATAGCTTGACTGCGAAATAAAATAATAAATAGAAAGATTATATTGCCAGTGGGAATACAAAATTGAAGCAGTTCAAAATTTGTGGTGAATTTTTTGCAATCGCTTCAGATACATTAATTTTTTGTTTGACCTCTACTTACGTCTTCAATTCCTCCACCTTCTTGTTGGCCAAACGCAACAGGGCACGTCCCTCCAATATACCCAATGACTTCAAGGTAGTATTTTCCAATTTTTCTTTACCCATTATATCTTGACGCATATACATTATGACGGGACTATCATATTTCTCCAGCTCTCCGGCAGCCAATTCCTCTAGAACTGACCATAAATTTGACGTCGATTTAAATTGTGCCTGTTTGCGGCTACCATCTTCCATTTGGACGCATATATCAACATTGGCCACGGTACGTTTTTTATCCGCCTCTGACATTTCCAGCAGACAATTATTGGGTAAACCACTGAATCGGAATGTCTGTGCCAGCGATACTTCCTTGTTGTGATGTTTCAGGGTGAAATCATCGCTGCACAAGTTATGTTTGCTGCAAACATCTTCGAGTATTTGCAAAAGTGTCATATTGGGTGAAATTTTAACATTTTGCCTCCTTCCGTTGGGTGTTAGGACAGTAACTTTAGATTCCATTTCGAGAGATATTTCGTGGGTCTAATTGGTTGGTTGACTTGCAAAAAAATACTTGAAATTGTAAACACAAACAACGAAGGCCGGAGTAGCCGGTGTGTTATCATTTCGTTGTGGATGAATGACGAAGAAGAAGCAATTTGCAAAACATAAAATGAATGCAATGGGTCTATTCCGACAAATAAATTTAATTTGCGAATTAACGTACACTTTTTATTAGTCATGAAAAGAGGGTGAGGAGGGTTGGGAATAAAATAATATGCAGCAAAGTGGGTTGTGCGGAATTTATTTTCCCTTTAGGAGTACGAAAAGGCAAATTATATAGATATTGAAGGAAAAATGAGGTTAGGATTCTTAAACCAAATGGATTGATCGAAACTTTTAGGTGGTGGCTTTGCAAATTATGACCCTATATGGACCTGAGCACCTAAAGTACTGTATATGTTTCAAAAAAAAAAGCAAAGAAGGTGAAAGAAGAAAATTTGAATAATTCGAATAATCTTGCATATATCTGGAATTATCAATAAGGAACTGCAAATTCAAAAATATTTTTATGAATTTAAATACCTTCGGAACCGAGAGCTATGTTTGATTTCGCTTTGGAGCTTATTGTGTCTTCTTAACTGGATGAGAATGAAAAGGGCTCCTCCACCTTGTGGTGTGCATTGAAATGTCCTTAAATCGATCGGTACTTTTATATCACGCTATGTCTTTATAACTTGGGTCAGGAACTTAAACGTTCTGAAAATTATGCGGGACCTATATAGGTGGCATGAGAACATCGCATAGGCAAAAGCTAAGAATCCGCAATGCCAAATTACAGCAATTTCGATGAGAAAATGCGACTATAACCTTCAAATTACGCGGGGCTTATGTATAGGTGACATGGGAGCATCACATGGGCACTACCTTTTTATTCACTAGGAATCTGTAATGTATAATTACAGCAACTTCGATTAGAGAATGCGACTATAACCTTCAAAATACGTATGTCAGAACGTGTATCAAAAATATGTCTGCAAAGATCTTTTTCTCACTCGAAATAGTTTGAATTTCAAACTTCAGTTATTTTGATTAGAAAATCGGACAAACAATTTATAATTTTTTTACTGGATACAGATCACTTCCGTGTATCTAATGATCGATCAGCATGCTGCAACATATCTGGTATTATATCATCTGGTTTTTATCGTCGAGAGTTACCAGTCAGACGGACGACTTCAAATTGTCTAAATGGATTCGTTTAGTTAATGAACCGGAAGATCACATTTTAAGCCTTAAGACTCCAAATTAGGGTTCCGTCCCATATTCGGAATTTTGTATATTTGTATAAGAAAATATATATTTATATATTTATTTGTATAAGAAAATGCGACTATTACCTTCAAAATAAGTAATGTCTGAACACGGACCTGTATCAAAATTTTTCTGTAGAGAAGGTTTTCTCACTCGAATGCCCCACATCAGTGACAAAATTCAGCTATAACCTTCAAAATATGGGAAAATGTGTGATAAACCCTTCAAAATGACCAACATAGAGTGTGATATTTGTCTCCCCCAGGAACCCTGAATGCCAATCTGAAACCACTTCGGTTGGAAAAATGCGCATAAAACCATAAAAATCCCGAATGCGTAGCGGGGCATTTATATGAGGACCATGCCAAAACATGGAGGTATATCGAAAAATTTAAGGATATTTCTCTCCCTCTCTCAGAAGCCCAAACTGCAGCCAGTTGACGAAAAATGCAGGTAGAACCTTAAAATTCCAAATATGGGAGCGGAACTTTTCTTTTCAAAACATGGATGTATATCAAATATTTTTTGCAAATATATTTCTCTCCCTCCAAGAACCCTAAATACCAAACTACAGCAACTTCGATTGGAAAATGCTGTTCAAAACCTTCAAAATTCAAAATACGGAGGGTGAACATTTCTATGGGTATAATAATCGCCCAAACGCAAAAAGCTTTTATTTAGTGCATGAATATTCAAAGTGACACATCTTATGCGTCACTTGTAAAGCTTTACCTTCAAATACCAAAAAAACGTAAACATTGGTCGCAACTTGAATTGAATCGAATAGTTCGTTCCGCAGCGAGACACAACTATTTTTTTATTGAGGTATCTATTATTTAAATCAGCATAATCACGGATAAGGCTGTACTATTTTTATTGCTATTAATATTTGTTGATAAAACAATGGCTTGGCGGTCCGTGGGAGCCAATAATGCAGATCTAATACGACAACTAAGAGGTATGCTGTACGGCTACGGCTTTCTTCTATGGTTGATTGTCTTTGTTTATAATTTGCATTGTTTGTTTGCCTTGCCCTCTTCCATTGTTTAGAGTATGGCGTAATAGCAACAGAGGCTGTGGCCCAGGCCATGATTGCAACAGATCGAAAATTCTATTCACCCCGAAATCCGTATATGGATGCACCACAAAGTATTGGCCATGGTGTTACAATATCAGCACCTCATATGGTAATTGGAATAGACATCTTCTAGAATATTTCATTAAGAATTTTGTTCTTAGCATGCCTTTGCTTTGGAATATTTACGAGATCACATGAAGCCTGGCTATCGAGTTCTTGATGTTGGTTCCGGTTCAGGTTATCTAACGGCATGTTTTTGGCGTTATTTAAAAGCTCAAGAGGGTGATCATGAAAATACACGGGTTGTGGGTATTGAACATCAAGCTGAGTTGGTTCGGCAAAGTATTGCCAATTTAAATATCGATGATGATACGATGCTCAAGTCGGGAAAACTTATAATAGTGGGTATGTCAGTTCGATATTCTTTAATAAAAAATATGTACTATATTAATTATTATTTGTAATTAAAAGAGGGTGATGGCCGCAAAGGTGCTCCTGAATATGCCCCTTTTAATGCCATACATGTTGGTGCTGCCGCCCCCGAAACACCGAAAGCTTTATTGGATCAATTAGCCAAGGGTGGTCGTCTAATTGTACCAGTGGGACCGGAAGGTGGAGAACAGTATATGATGCAGGTAAGTAATGAAAAGAAGGTACAGAAGAAATCCATTATAACAATGGTAACCAAAAGTCCCGAAGAAATAGTAACAAAACAGATTTTGTTATTTACCTTTTCAGTACGACAAAGATGAAGCCGGCAAAGTCCATCCGACACGCCTTATGGGCGTTATGTATGTTCCCCTTACCGATTTAAGGCGCTCCTGACTTCTCCAAGCCCTCAAAGTGGCAATTGTATTATTTTTATGTGGACTTGTTGCATACCGTTTCTGGATATGGCTAAGATAAACAAAAAACACATGTTTTTGTTTTGCTCTTTGAGATTTTCAGTTTTTTGTTTTATTTAGAATTCTATTTATTTATGTTCCTCTGCATGATTGAACCAATTTAAATAATAATAATAATTTACCATATTAATTTATTTAAATCATATTAAACAAATGAAATGTTTTATTTTCAGGCAAGTTGTTTGATTTTGGGGATATTATGTTTTGTTACAGAATCTGCAGGAATCTTCTATTAATCGAAATTGTTTTCGAGTAAGAGCAGGCCATAAACGGATTTGGGCTTAAATTTTGTTAAAGACTAGGAAGCGCATCGTTCTGACTTGTTTTTGGCATCTATTCATAGAAAAAAGTTTAAGTCCCAACAAAAAAAAATTTAAAAAATACACAAAACTCAATGCTTTCTTCGGAAAGCATTTCTCTCGAGAGAAAAATCCTCCAATCGTGGATAATGTAGGAGTAAAATTTTTGGAATATGGCATCTCTTTTTAATCAACTGTGGGTCTTTTTCATACTTTGTGTACCCTTTTTTGTTTGCGCAAATTTCAAGTGTTTGTGTTGTTCGAAATAATTGAAAAGAAATAAAGAATTGAAACCAAAAAAATGAATAGTATTATACAAAGAACTTCTACAAGATTGCCAAGAAGACAATTGCGACATAGTTCCAATCCACTTGAATTGCCACAATCATTCTATGTACATAAAAGTTACGTTTTTTGCTGAAGGTGGATATCAAACTGGCGTTGGGAAGGATTCTGATGTTGGTATGGCACAATCAACATTTAGTTCTATCCTCTCCGAGGTGGTGACTGTTTTCGAAGCTCACCTTTGTCCTAAGTGGATTAAATATTCGCTGCGTCTCTTCATCAGACGATTTAATTTCAATAAGATTTTAGATAGCTTCTTCGGTGCTTAATAATTTTTGCTCCTCGTCTGGGCCGTCTTCTGTTCCTGTTTTGTATTTTGACTTATATTTTTTTATCAGCCCAAACCTATTTTAAGAAAATTTGAAGAATGAATGGATTATTTTATGAAAAAGAATGTAAAGAAATAGCACTAAACCTTTTTCCATTCGGCGATGCCCTTAATTGGTGGTCCCATCGAATTGAGCTCATTTTCCTTTTTTTCCAATACCGAGTAAGAGACTCTTTGCTCCCTTTATAGAATCCACGTGCAATGTCAGGATGTAATTCCATCACTGACACTAAATGCTGCAATTGGGTTTTATTTGTCTTTGACCTACAAAGAATTAATTTATTTCGATTTATATTTGAAAAACCATACATACATTTTTTATCTCCCTTCGATTTTGTTTGTGAGATATTTTGAGAGGAAAAACACAAATTGAAATTGAAATTCCGCACGGAATTATTTTTGACGATTGGGCTGATTATTCCAAGATTTTGTATATCCACCCGTCCCATTTGCGATATTTTTTTTAATGGTTTAGACGAGTTTTTCCATTGAGGTTGGCGTTTTTTAGTCACCTATATCAAGATCCCGCAAAACTATCAAAATGTTAAACTTCTGAGTTCTCAATTTATAAAGACATGAACCCATAAAAGTTCCGAACGATTTAAGAACATTAATATGTACACCAAATGGTGAAGGGCGTAAAAAGTGTATCTTCGCTAGAGCAAGAATCTGAGATCAGTTTAGACAATAGTCTTCAAACCATCCTATCGGCATTTTCCATACTAATGTCCTACAAAAAATATGTTTTAAAAATCCACGCCTGATGGTCCTACAAAAAATATGTTTTAAAAATCCACGCCTGATGGTCCTACAAAAAATATGTTTTAAAAATCCACGCCTGATGGTCCTACAAAAAATATGTTTTAAAAATCCACGCCTGATGGTCCTACAAAAAATATGTTTTAAAAATCCACGCCTGTTTGTCTGATGGTCCTTCAAAAAATATGTTTTAAAAATCCACGCCTGTTTGTCTGATGGTCCTTCAAAAAATATGTTTTAAAAATCCACGCCTGTTTGTCTGATGGTCCTTCAAAAAATATGTTTTAAAAATCCACGCCTGTTTGTCTGATGGTCCTTCAAAAAATATGTTTTAAAAATCCACGCCTGTTTGTCTGATGGTCCTTCAAAAAATATGTTTTAAAAATCCACGCCTGTTTGTCTGATGGTCCTTCAAAAAATATGTTTTAATAAACCACTTCCATTTGTTTTTAAGATCCTTTAAAACATATATGTCTGAAGGCGAACTTGCCGACTACAGACTTAAAAATGCATGGAATGATAAAATATATTGATTTTTCTCATTTTGTTTTGTATTTATTTACACATAATAATATTTTTTAAAGCGAAATAGATTTTACATATATATGTGTTATCCAAATAAAATGCATTCAATCTTCGCCTTAGTCATGATGCATTTTTCCAAGATAGTATGGCTAAATATTCATTTTTTTGTTCAGTTTAAGTATAAACTAAATATTTTATTTCCTAAATATACTTTGGCAATTAAGACAGACTTATATATAGATAAAGACGACAAAAAATATAAATATAGTAAAGAAGGCTTCAGTGTGTATGTGTGTATTTTTTTCTTTTTGTTTTGTTTTCATTGAATAGCTTATAAACATTTAAATGCGTTTGAATACATCATCGATCGATGTCTTTGTAAGTGTTGATGCATAGTTGTTTTTTTTTCTTCTCACATGGATATATTTAATATGTAGATTATATTTAATGATTGTGTGCATTATTTGTATTTATTATTGTAGACTTAAAATCAAAACAAACAAAACATTAAATTAAAAATGTAGCTAGGATCGTTTTGAAACCACAACAACCAAGTCTATTAGCCAATAATATGATTGTCTTAAATCTCCCTCACATAAATATGGCGCCTTAGTCCACGATTCAATTTGAAAACCCAAATTCTCTAATACTCGGAAAAATATAGCAGCCTCCGATTCAAAGGAATACTGTTTAGCCTTTGCTGGCCAATGTTGCATTAGCGGACGTATTGGCATATGCGAGGAATTCGATTCAACATAATGCATATAGGGTAGAACTAAAGCTATAATACACCGACCATTGGGTGCCAGAATTTTGTGTATATCTTCGAGTAGTTGTATGGGATCGATACAACGATCGAGAACATTCAGGCAGGATACAAATTGTACATTGCCGACTTCGTCGAGATTTTCCAATACTTTAAAATCCATTTTTTTAAGTCGTTCACGCATTGTCCAACTGGCCTCAGTGGCATAGGCATCGATGACAACATCTGGATTTGAGATTCGTAAAGCTTTTAGTAATACCATAGAGATTTGTCCATCACCGGCACCGATGTCAACAAAGCGTACCTGAAAAAATTAAAAAAAATATATTACAAAATTTTAGAAATCGATATACAGATACATGTTTTTTTTTAATTCAAGCCTGGAGGGTCCTTTAGAAAGTCTTTTTTAAAAATCCATGCCTGTGCGGAAAAATATCCTTTAAATCGCTTTAAAAATCCATGCCTGTGGGTCAAACTGTCCTTTAAAAAGTCTGTTTTAAAAATCCATGCCTGTGGGGCAAAATGTCCGTTAAAGTCTATGTTTTAAAATTTTAGAAATCGATATACAGATACATGTTTTTTTTTTAATTCAAGCCTGGAGGGTCCTTTAGGAAGTCTGTTTTAAAAATCCATGCCTGTGGGGAAAAATATCCTTTAAAAATATGTTTTAAAAATCCACGCCTATTGGTCTGATGGCCCTTTAAAAATATGTTTTAAAAATCCACGCCTATTGGTCTGATGGCCCTTTAAAAATATGTTTTAAAAATCCGCGCCTATTGGTCTGATGGCCCTTTAAAAATATGTTTTAAAAAATCCATGCCTATTGGTCTGATGGCCCTTTAAAAAAATATTTTTTTGATGGTCCCTTAAAAAATGTCTTTAAAACTCCACGCCTATTGGTCTGATGGTCCTTTAAAAAAATTTGCTTTAAAACTCCACGCCTATTGGTCTGACGGTCCTTTAAAAAAATATGTTTTAAAACTCCACGCCTATTGGTCTGATGGTCCTTTAAAAAAATATGTTTTAAAACTCCACGCCTATTGGTCTGATGGTCCTTTAAAAAAATATGTTTTAAAACTTCACGCCCATAGCTCTGATGGTCCTTTAAAAAAAGTATGTTTTAGAACTCCACGCCTATTGGTCTGATGGTCCTTTAAAAAAATATGTTTTAAAACTCCACGCATATTGGTCTGATGGTCCTTTAAAAAATAGGTTTTAAAACTTCACGCCTGTTGGTCTGATGGTCCTTTAAAAAATATGTTTTAAAACTTTAAAAAAGTCTGTTTTAAAAATCCACGCCTATTGGTCTGATGGTCCTTTAAAAATATGTTTTAAAAATCCACGCCTATTGGTCCTTTAAAAAATATGTTTTAAAAATCCAGGCCTATTGGTTTGATGTTCCTTTAAAAAAAATATGTTTTAAAAATCCACGTATGTCGGACTAAAGGTCCTTTCAAATAATATGTTTTAAAAAACCACGCCAATTATTGTGAAAATCCTTTAAAAAAATACGTTTTAAAAATCCACTCCTTTGAGCCTTTTTGTCATCCATGCTTATTGGCCGGATAGTCCCCTTAGAAAGTTAGTTTAAAAATCACGTCTCTTTCAACACCATATTTGCACATACCATATCATATCTTCGACTATCAAATCCTCCCTCCTTTAATAGCACGGCAAATTGATTCTCGGATAATATAAACATTGATCCTCTCTTTAGGAAACCATTAATATCGGTTTGTGTCATAAAAAACTGTAGAAACTGCCTTGCCAGTACATGCCATATGTGAAGCCAAACATTATTTTTATTTTTTGCCTGCTCCAGCCATTCCATGGTCACAGCATCCGGTTCTTCGAACGGAACATATGAACTACGATAGGCAAATTGGTCATCAGCATTGACAGTGTACCACTGTAAATTGAAACAAAAAAGAAAATTTGTTATTGAGGAACTGAAAGTATGTATTTTTTTGGGAATCACTTACCAATTTAGTATCATATTTATCTAAGTAATAATCGTTATGGAATTTGGCATATATTGCCCTGGCAATATATGTTCGAGGATTATTCATGTTGTTGCAATCAATCTACTACGATGACGAGGTGGAATGTTGAATGAACGCATAAATCTGAAAATAAATATGAAGAAAGAGAAAAAAATATCAATGCAAATCACCCTACTCTGTTATCAAACGCACATTCTATCAGTGATAGGGTATTCTTCTTAATACCGACGTGTTGATGATAAGATACTGAATGAAATCTTATACATGTCATGTCAATAGAAAAGCTATCTGATTAAAAAATTCAGCACGCAAGTATAGAAATATGCATGCATTTTTTCATACAAATACAAAAACTAAACAATGTCCTTTTTATTGATGAAATGAAATGATGATTGATGAAATTGAATGAAATCTCCTCGGCCCCAGGGATTCAGTAAATCTTTCCCTTTGGGGCGATGCAAGTAAAACAACAAGGAAGGTTATTGCACATGCTGTTGTAAATTTTACATTAGATGCTATATATGTAGAGCCATAGCCATCCACCATTAATCATTGGCCTACTTCAATTGCCTTGCAATATAGACCCACCACTTGTAGAACTATGACGACGACTCTGTGTACTTGGTTTTCAATTCGGCATAACGAACACATACCTTTGTTGTTGTTCTTCTTCGTGGTTTTGATAAATAACTATGTAACTAATACAATCATTGTATTTATAAAAACTATTTTACGTTTTGTGTAGTATTTTTTAAGAAAGAAATGAACAATTTGCCCAATTTTCACATCCAAAACACAAGGAAAATTCACTCTCAACTGCATTGACTACAATGTGTAGGGCACGCATAATCGAAAATGACCATTCGAGTTATAACGACTGACATTAACACATGGCATTAGGTATGTTCGTTTAATCAATAATTTAAAAGAAATATATATTAAAATCAGCTGTTTATTGGAAAAAATTAAAAAGTGAATAAAATAATAAAGAAAACACACCTCTATGTGTAATTAAGAATACATATTTAAATAAATAAATATTTTTCAAAGAACCATCAGACCAATAGGCGTGGATTTTTTAAACATTTTTTTGAAAGGCGTGGATTTTAAACATATTTTTGAAAGGCGTGGATTTTTGAAACATATGTTGAAAAGGCGTTGATTTTTTAAGCATATTTTTGAAAGGCGTGGATTTTTTAAACATATTTTTGAAAGGCGTGGAGTTTTTAAACATATTCTTGAAAGGCGTGGATTTTTTAAACATATTTTTGAAAGGCGTGGATTTTTTAAACATATTTTTGAAAGGCGTGGATTTTTTAAATATATTTTTAAAAGGCGTGGATTTTTTAAACATATTTTTGAAAGGCGTGGATTTTTTAAACATATTTTTGAAAGGCGTGGATTTTTTAAATATATTTTTAAAAGGCGTGGATTTTTTAAACATATTTTTGAAAGGACCATCACCACAATTGGCGTGGATGTTTTAAACATATTTTTGAAAGGACCATCACCACAATTGGCGTGGATGTTTTAAACATATTTTTGAAAGGACCATCACCCCAATAGGCGTGGATTTTTTAAACATGTATTCGAAAGGATAATCAGATTAATAGGCGTGGATTTTTAAGCATATATTCGAAAGGATCATCAGATTAATAGGTGTGGATTTTTTAAACATATATTCGAAAGGATCATCAGATTAATAGGCGTGGAATTTTTAAACATATATTCGAAAGGATCATCAGATTAATAAGCGTGAATTTCTTAAACATATTTTCTAAAGGATCATCAGATTGATAAGCGTGGATTTTTTAAACAATTTTTTTAAAGGATCATCAGATTAATATGTGTGGATTTTTAATACATGACTTCTTTACCGCAGATGCCAAGAGTATTGAGGAGGGCTTGGTTTACTTTTGGTTTGACAGAAAGCGGCGTCAGAAACAAAGCTGTTGTTGCATGTGAATATAATTTTTGTATAAAAATAAAATAAAAAAAACACAACCGGCAGCAATTATCCGAGATGATGTGTTTGCTGCTGCCGGCCAGAAAAAAGTGAGCCGGATACAGTAAGCTCAGTACAGCGGTTGAGAAATTCATGCGTTGCCATCTGGTCTGAAATTTAGGCCTGGCAAATACAACCCTGTCGAGATGTAGGGATCAAGAGGTGAGATAAAGGAAAAATGATAAATGTCGGAAAATGCGCGAGAATCCCAGAAAAGTGGGAAAATGGCATCTGGCTGCGGGGGTATAAAAGGCATAACGGGGGGAAAATTCGATCAAATTTATTTGGTGTTTGGTCGAGAGACTATAATTTATAACAAATTTTCAAAACAAAGAAAACAAAAATCCCCAAGATAAACAAAAAAATCCCCAAAATTTATTAAGACTTGTGTTTGTTTTTTATTGTTGAGTGCCTTATGTCTGCGAGCGAACAAAATAAAGTAAGTTAGTGTAATTCGGTAATATTTTATGTGTTTGAATGTTTGTGTTTTTGTATAGATCTCGCCAACATCCTCATCAACTAAAAAGGCAAGCATTGGCCCCTCCAAGTCGTTGCACGGAGGAGGTCATCCGATTTTTTTTGGGCTTATTCGGCGAAAATATTTATGTGGCATGGTTTTAGCCGTAGAATAGTTGGCTGGAAGACGGTTAAGCCCAAAGTGAAGACAGCACGCCAGCACAAGCTTGAACGCAGTTGGCCAATAAATTGATGTGTCTGTCCGTCAAAAAAATCCTGGAAAAATAAGTATCTGGAAACCAGGTAACCATTGTTTTGTCGAAATTTAAATGCCAAGAGCCTGAGCGCCTTGAAATCTGAAAGTAAAACAAAAAAATGAATTAGTAATCAAAGACAAAATTAAAAACAAGCAAATCACCAAATGACAAAAATTCAAAAAAAAAAAAAACCAAACAAAAATATATTTACTAAATTTTAAGTGTTAGATTAAGTGTGTTATGTGTTAGTATTTAGTGATTAATATCTAAGATTTTGAATTGTGAGAATTTTTAACGCCTAACAAATGCGACAAGTGTAGGGTTACCCCAAATATCTTATTGGAAACTTGCATTTGCCTATTTTGGGGACCAAATGGTAATCTCCCCAATAACGACTTAAGAGAGCTCTTTTAGGTGAGGTAATAGTATAATAGAGTGGCCAGAAGGAGCCGTTTCAATAGATTGTGTGGGTAGTCTGAAACAGTGACTTATCGATAGTTTTAGGTGTTAGGAATTCAGAATATTGACTATGTGTTTATGTTAGGTTTAAGTAATCTAGAAATAATGAAATTAATAAATATTGTTTATGTGTAAATGTTTAGATTAATATGAATTGCTAGTTGTTTTCTGTGAGGGAGGAAGATAGGATGATGTTGCAGTAAGGTGAGTGTGTGTGGAATCAGGGGCCCTTTAAAATTAAGTGTTTATTAGGACGAAAAGGGTCAAGGTTGGGTGGGCGAAGTGCGGGAATAATTGACACCAAATTCCCTCGTTATGGTCGTATGTGTGTTGTCATTTTTGTATTGTTGTTTGTTGTTCTATTTCCGTTTTCCTTTTGATTGTTCGACCCCTAGGGCTGATGGTGGTAGGGTTGGGAATTCACCCCTAAAGCGGTGCCCCGACTGAGCTGGTTGGAACCCCACCAGGAGCCGCAGTAGGCGGTACGCAACAATATGGCGCCCAACCCAAACTATAGTCCTGTCGTCCTATAATTTTTAAGTGCAATAACACCTGCCACTACTTATGCGCAAAACAAAGGCGCCAAAAACGTTAGTACGACAAGGACAAATAAATAATATATGTTGTGCAATAATACCTACGCACAGAATAATAGACCATAGGGTGAAATAGTTTAAAATATTATATCGCATTTTCTGAATGCTAACAGATCTTGCATCCACATATTGTTCTTCAATCTGTGTCAATTGTGCAATATCTAGTTTAAGTAATTAGAAAATTAGGATATAGTATTCCATAAGTTAGGGTCTAGTGCAATAGCTCTTGTTCGTTAATTGTAACAATGAATGTATTGTGTTCATGACCTGTGTTTTTTTTTGTTTGCTGTCTTTTTAATTAGAGTAGATACAATAGACTAAGGATGGCATATGGGGAAGTGCAATGTGTGGGTAGTCTGAAACAGTGACTTATCGATAGTTTTAGGTGTTAGGAATTCAGAATATTGACTATGTGTTTATGTTAGGTTTAAGTAATCAAGAAATAATGAAATTAATAAATATTGTTTATGTGTAAATGTTTAGATTAATATGAATTGCTAGTTGTTTTCTGTGAGGGAGGAAGATAGGATGATGTTGCAGTAAGGTGAGTGTGTGTGGAATCAGGGGCCCTTTAAAATTAAGTGTTTATTAGGACGAAAAGGGTCAAGGTTGGGTGGGCGAAGTGCGGGAATAATTGACACCAAATTCCCTCGTTATGGTCGTATATGTGTTGTCATTTTTGTATTGTTGTTTGTTGTTCTATTTCCGTTTTCCTTTTTGATTGTTCGACCCCTAGGGCTGATGGTGGTAGGGTTGGGAATTCACCCCTAAAGCGGTCTGAGCTGGTTGGAACCCCACCAGGAGCCGCAGTAGGCGGTACGCAACAATATGGCGCCTATAGTCCTGTCGTCCTATAATTTTTAAGTGCAATAACACCTGCCACTACTTATGCGCAAAACAAAGGCGCCAAAAACGTTAGTACGACAAGGACAAATAAATAATATATGTTTGCAATAATACCTACGCACAGAATAATAGACCATAGGGTGAAATAGTTTAAAATATTATATCGCAGTGCTAACAGATCTGCATCCACATATTGTCCTTCAATCTGTGTCAATTGTGCAATATCTAGTTTAAGTAATTAGAAAATTAGGATATAGTATTCCATAAGTTACTAGTGCAATATTTTGTAACAATGAATGTATTGTGTTCATGACCTGTGTTTTTTTTTTTGTTTGCTGTCTTTTTAATTAGAGTAGATACAATAGACTAAGGATGGCATATGGGGAAGTGCAATATCTGCTTTGACCATGGTTGTCATTGACTGTATTGTGCAATTTCTCTTAACAC